TCCATATATAACTACTTGGACTTTCATGCTTGAGTTTTCACTGTGTACACTTCAGTTACTCACTGTTTACTCACTTTCCTTGTTTCTGTGCATAGCTTAAATAGCAACAGGAGAGGGAACATGTGAGATGGACTGTAAATCCCCTAAAACCACCTATAACACCTCCGTGGAGGAGCACCAGAGTCATGTCTTCCTTGGACACACCATAGGGAAAGCCAGACAACAGTGTGCTGCTGATAGAAAGGGGATCATTTAAAAACAAGCAGGCAAATCGATCTTTTTTTCCTCTCATCTCCAAAGAATTTATTGGTCTGTGGCTGTTCTGCACCTGGATGGTTGTGAGTTGTAAGATTTTGGTGCGGCAGTCTCCAATGGTTGCTACTGGCGAAGTCTATCCTTGACAATTACATTCCATCTTGGTGAATCTGCTATAACAAAACATGTTTTTGCCTCACTGCAGTCCTGTCAGTGGCAAATCTTAGACTTCACTAAGACAAAAACATCACCTTTTGGATTCCACATGGCATTTCTCTTGTGGTGTCATTTATTTAGAAAGAAAATTTCTCTTTATCTTTTTGAGTGAGTGTCTTTGTTTTATCTGCAAAGAATGTAAGAGCACTTGCAGGATGAATCATGTCTATTTTGTTTGCTTGTGCAAAATCATAGCTGCTATAGTTGTCGTTATTAGGTTAATTTAAAATAATAAGGAAAACAGCACAAGAACTCTTTTGATCACTGACTTTTCAGTTGCCATTGTCCTTTGAATGACTTTATGTGATAACCAAACAAAACATACACTGAAGTCCTCCCTGCCTACTGAGTTTTGCAGTCTTAAAGTCGGTTTGAAATTATTTGGAGCTATATATGTATATATATATATACACACATACATGTAATGAAGGATCAAAGAGTAAGGAGAAGCTCAAGAGGCTCTTTAGGAATATTGGCACCAGCCAACTGCATATTTGTGATTTGGGCATGCAGTGACATGACCCCCAATTGCTCAGGCTTCTCATACACACTCATGCACTGCATCTCTTCCTGTTTAAAAACACTGAGGCATTTATGTGGCCGTGTGGTTTTAGGGCCTCTTGGCTGCATCTCAACACCTGCTAGAAGGGCAGCATCCCCTGATGAGTGCTCAGCAATTTGCAGCTCAGAATTCCAAAGTTTGCAGCAGCCTCATCTGCCTCCATCACCCCTTTAACACCCAGAGCACTGGGCGACGTTTGGTTGTTTTTCACACAGATGTGTTTGATTAAAGAGACATTTCACTGTGTTACGAATCAGAATGTGTTTATTCAGGAAAACACTGCCTCCCCACCCCCACCTCCATATTTAAACTGCAATAATTAGCAAAACTTTTTTATTCGACACAATACAATTACGTTGACATGTGTCTATTGCTAAAGCCCCCAACGCACTGTCTCACAACACAGGCTTATATATGAAAAAGTACCCTTTACATATAAAGGTTCTGATATTCTGCACACTATCTGCTTGCCAAAGGCAGAAGTTCTGCTCTTCTACCACTGTCAAGCTTGAGGAACTCAGCTGAAGCCCCTGAAATTACATTCATATAAAGTATAAACAAATCACATGTTCTCTTTTTTAAACATGAAACCTATTCTTCCTCTTGAGCATAAGCTTTAGAAATACTCCTTTTCAGACGGTTGCTTATGTCAAAGCTCACTCACTTCCTTGGCATCAGAGCATCAGTAGAGCTCATTTGGCCCTTCAAACTGGGTTTCATACAGATTCTTCACATTTCTGTGGTTTCTTTTCTTTTTTTCTCCTTTATATTCCTTCTTCTCCATTTGTTTTTTTTATAAGAATGACAAATAGAAGCAAAGAAGAAGAAGCAGAATAAAACAAACAAACAAACAAAACAAAAC